TTTTGTGCCAGGTTCGTGCTTTGAGTCAGATGGCTGTGGTGGATTAAGTCTGGCAGTGGCAGCCCAAACGCTGGATTTACTGCTTGGTAAAATCACAGGCACAGCAGTTGGTAACAGCCATATGTTAGAAGCCAAAAGATATTTTGAAAAGGCTATGTAAAAATAGGTACAAATATTAAGCCTGACTGCTTGTAGAAAAATACCCTGTGAGTATAAAAAATAACTTTAAGTAAATACTTTGCTGAAGACCCTTTGCCTTATTTGAGCATGATATTTTGTACTGTATGAAATTAGGGCTTTGCCAAAGTTTGCCCCTTCGCAGTATCAACTGCTATCCAAGAAGGCAGCACCATAACAAATGCAATCTATTCTGTGTGCTTTTCTGAAAGACCAAAGAGTGAGAAGCTAAGTTTGGATAACCTTCTGTAAACTCGTATTCCCTGAAACTGACCCCGCATTACACTCATTTCTAGGCAGAAGAGCTAACGTGGCATTTCTGCTGACCCTGCAAGGTAGGACAGGCCAGTGCTGCTCACCAGAGGAGCATTTTGGAGAGGTAGTTTTAATATGTGTTGTACTTCTGATCCTGTTCACCGCACAGGAAACCTTCCTGTTAGGAGGGAGGAGGTGCCACAGTGGCATAGCTATGAGTCAGAATTTTACTGACTTTTTGAAAAAAATAATTTATTAGATTCCTGTCATCATGAGATGCAGAATGAGCTTGTTCAAAAGTATTAAAGCCAGAATTTCTGAGATATGAGTGATGCTGCATAGGGCTTGAAATTTTGGCCCATTCTGGTCTTCAAACAGGAGATGTCTTATAACTAGCAAATGAGGCAAAACAAAACAAATGGAGACCTTTTTCAACCCAGACAGCAATGCTTTTTCTCCACCAGCACCAAAAGAGATTCCTCTCGGAGCACAGTACTGCAAAGTATATATTTGGTGTGAGGTTCTGAATAGCATTTTAGAAGTTCAGCAGAGCCTACGTTGTATTGTTAAAGCAAGAGCTTGTAGGGTCTATGCCTGGCAGTGAAGCAATTAATATTTAAGTTTTTTAGAACACTGGAACCATAACCACCTTTTTACAACATCAACATAGTTACAGAAAATTGGCTTACTTGCAGAGTACAAAAGTTGAGAAATCTGGTCAGACTGGTTTCTGAAAGGTGAAAGAGATCTCTGTTGAAGTGATAAAGATTAAAATACTATTAAGATAACATTAATAGTGGTGCTTTTAGACAAGCCTAAGCAATCTGGTCACCAGAAAAAAAAAATTATGAGGAAAACCAGACAGCACAAAAAACCCGCTTCCAGGCAATGAACCTAAAAGGGCACTTATGTCAAATCCAATTGTGAAATTATACACAAAGGAAAGAACCAAAGTTCCCGTAGGAACCTCAAGTCATCTAAAATGCTTTAACAGTTCTGAATGCAGTGCCTTTATAACAGCTGGATGTTACTATTGAAGTGTGCTTTCTATTACAAACACAGTTTCAGCTCCTTGCTCCCCAGCTGATGCAGGATGGAAACAATCCATTTGAGTATTAACGTCAAGTTTCTTGTTTTGGCAGAAGTTTTTATTTACTATTGCATTTTTTTTCAGACATTACAGGCTTTGATGTGGATCATTTCTTTCATGATACATATTCACTGCAGAATTATCTATGTTCAAGCTGCTCAAAAGCATCCCGACCACAAAATAATTGATGTAGCCACTTCCATGTGCTGCTAAGACTTTTTGGGGTGCACATGGGGGATTTTTTTGGAAAGCACTGGAGAACTAACAGCACTTGACTTCTGGCACAGCTAAGGAGTAGTGTAACTTGAGTTTTAACCTATAAATCTGATGGGGCAGCCACTAGAGTTAAGGGGGTTTATGAACAGCTCAGACTTGACTTAGGAGCAACGTTCAACTTAGAGGTCAAAGGAGCTTTTCACCAGGGAACATGTCTTTTGTGTCAGCCTGGCATAAGGGGAGTGTTGAGCAAAGAGCTGTCTGCAAATAGGGCAAGTTCTACAGGAAGAGGGGTAGGCAACAGCAATGTCACTACTTACAGAAGCTGGACTACAGTTGGATTATATTTTTCAGAGCCAAGTAGCCTGAGCCAATAGCATCCATATATTTCGGAAGGGCAAAGCTTTGATGTGAGTCTATCCTCCCATGAGCTCAAGTTTCTCTTCCTGAGGAGTAGCTCAGAGCTGTAGCCTATATTAATACCAGAGCATGGCTGTGATCCAAGCACCCGGCTCCAAACTATGGGTATCCTGGGAGCAAGTGAAGCAGGAGGAAAGACACACTGACATTGCAAGAGTGCGATGCTTCGGCAAAAGACCTCAGGTTAAGGTTTTAGAGCAACCTCTTTCAAATAAAGCCGTAGCATAATATATATAAATATATATAAATTCATAATATAAGATGCCTGTATTACAGAATTCCTTTTCTGGATGAAGAAAATGACAGACAGGCATATATGGAGGCTGGAGAAAGGAGCTTGCCCTTGGGAAACAGAAATACCCCAGTAGAAGTAGGGCCAGTTGGCAAGATTTGCAAGCACTCTTGGCATTTCTGTAACTGCTAATGAACGAATCTTTGGAGGAAAAAATACACAATGAGGAAACTCTTCTCTGAATATAAAATATAAAAGGCATTAATTTTGTTTTCAAAAGAGGTGGGAAGCAAGAAAACTTCTTTAAAACAACTTAGAAAATGAAACCTTATTGAAAGTAAGTTAGGTTTTTAGGTTATTTATGTGCTTTGACAAGTTTTACTCAGAAGCTTTCTGAGAGCTGAAGAACCATATTTCAGGTAAAAAAAAGCACTGAAGTGTTGAAAGGGGCCACTTTTACACTAAAAAACCCCTCCAGTGTAAAGCCCAGATCACCATTGGTCTTCATCAGACACTGAAAAAAAGATGCAAAGAGCTGACTTGTGACAGAACCGTGGTGGCATTTTAAACTGAAGGGCAATGGTGTGCGCCTGTCACAGAGCCCTGGAACTATAGGTTTGGAAGGGATGTTAAAGATCATCCAGTTCCAACTCGCCTGCCATGGGCAGGGATGCCACCCACTAGATCAGGTTGCTCAGGGCCCCATTCAACCTGGCCTTGAACACTTCCAGGGATGGGGCATGCACAGTTCCTCTGGGCTACCTGTTGCAGTGTCTCACCATCCTCTGAGTAAAGAATATCTTCCTAACACCTAATCTAAATCTCTGTTCTTTTAGTTTAAAATTATCCCCTTGTCCTGTCCCTATCTCCCTGTGTAAAAGTCACTCCGTTTTTTTTATAAGCCCCCTTCACGTACTGGAATGTGCTATAAGGTCTCCTCAGAGCCCTCTCTTCCTCATGCTGAACGACCCCAACTCTCTCAGCCTGTTTTCATAGGAGAGGTGCTCCAGCCCTCTCTGAGATCATCTTTGTGGCCCTACTCTGGTCTCGCTGGACACCCCTCACAGGCATGTTAGTGAGGAGGGCGGCAAGGCACATCCAGCACACACATCAAACCTCTACTTTGCAGGCCAGAAAAGTTGTTACAGGAACAGATCAGAGATACTCTTTAGATACCCCATTTAAATATCCAACAGAGTATCTTTACAGTCCTTCAACAATTCCTGACGTAGTTTGCATTCTCCAGCTGTTTTTGCATCTAGGAAAAAAAACATTTGCTTTCCCCAGTTTAGGAGAAATTGCTACTTTGCCAGCCAGGGAGGCTGGCCCCGTCTGCACCTGCTGCCCAGCAGTACAGCATAGCTCTCTTTGAAGTTGGCCAGATGACACAGGGAGGGGGGTTTCCACAGCCTCCCGGTGATGTCACCTCATTAGGTATTTGGCTCCTGCTGAAAGGTTTGGGATTTATGAATCAGCTCGGCCTGAGGAGTTCCAGGGCCAAGGAAATTTTTCAGATATTCATGTTGAAGAGCCACACGAGTGCCCAAGAGAAGAAAGAACCACTAGGAAATTTGGGTTCTTCATTTTGAATTGGGATTATCACACAAGCAGGACTGCCCACTGTTCCTGAGCTCTCCGTTACAGGGACCTGCCACAGCCAGCAGGTGCACAGCCAGGCTCCACAACAGACACTTGCTGGGGTTTTTCCTAGTTTTGGAACAAGGAATAAATTTGTAGGTTTGGAGTCCTGCGATTGCATGAGGCACTTTACGTTTTGTATTTGGGTAGTTTAGTCACCTAGACCATGCCACGGTGGAGCAGGGTGAATCAATGAATCAATTAGGTTGGAAAAGACCTCTGAGATCATTGAGTCCAACCTATGACCAAAAACCACCATGTCAACTAGACCATGGCACTAAGTGCCACATCCAGTCTTTCCTTAAACACCTTCAGGCACGGTGACTCCACGACCTCCTTGGTCAGTCTGTTCCAATGTCTAATCACCCTTTCTGTGAAGAAATTCCTCCAAATGTCCATCCTAAACGTCTCCTGGTGCAGCTTAAGACTATGTCCTCTTGTCCTGTCACTAGCTTCCTGGGAGAAGAGACCGACCCCCACCTGGCTACAACCGCCTTTCAGGTAGTTGTAGAGAGGGATAAGATCACCCCTGAGCCTCCTTTTGCCCAGGCTACACAACCCCAGCTCCCTCAGCCGCTCCTTGTGCTCCAACCCCTTCGACCAGCTTCGTCGCCATTCTCTGGACTCGCCTCGTGAAGGCGATGCCGCGGACACCGCCTGGCGATGGGCAGCTCAGCGCTATCGCCCATGAACAGGACAAAGGAGCGCAGGGCAGCGGGGCTGGGCACGGACAAGCCCCGCGGCCGCCGGGCACGAGCCCCCTCCTCGGGCGGATGCCCCGACCGCCACCTCCGGGCCGCCCCTTCCCCTTCGCCCTCCGCCGCTGCCGGGTGACCTCGCTGGGCCCGGCCCCTCCTGCCGGGGGCGGGCGGGGCGGTGCCGCCGCTGCGCGCTGTGTGCTGGAATGCGGGGGCGCCTCCGCCCGCCACCGCCGCCGCCAGCAGCGCCTCCCGCCCGCCCCGCCCCGCCCCGCAGCAGCCGCGCGGCCGGGCGGCCCCGCGCCGCCGGTGGGTGAGCGAGCGAGCGCGGCGGGGCCCGGCGGCGCCGGGCAGGGGGGGCCGGGAGCCGGGCGAGAGGCGCTGTCCAGGGCTGATCTGCGGCCGGCGGGCGGGCGGGGGTGGCCGGGCGGGCCGGGCCGCGGGGGGATCAGCACCACGGCTAAGGAGCCGCGCCGGCCGCGGGGGCGCTCGCCGGGCCGGGCCGGGCCGCGCCGCCGCCGGAAGGCGAAGCCTCCGCCGGCCGGGCCGGCCCGGGCGCAGCCACAGGCCGTGGGCCCGGGCGCAGGCCCGGGGCGCCGCTCGCTCCCCCCTCCCTCTGCGGGGCACCGGGTGGGCGCGGCCGCCGTGACCTTGCTGGTACCGAGGCGCTTCCCCCGGCCCGCGCCCCCGCCCCGGCGCCGCTGCCCTGCCCTGCCCTGCCCGCCGCGGGGGGAGGAGGGAGCCGGGCGTCCGCACCGGGGAGCGGCGGGGCGGCTGTGCCCGGCCAGGCCCCCCCGGCGGCTGCGGCGGGCGGGCCGGGGGCGGCGCGGGGAGGGCGCTTTGTGTGGGCAGGCAGAAAATGGCCGCATGCCTGGCAGGCAGGGGGGGAGGGAGTGCGGCGGGGCACGGCCCGGCCCGGCTCCCCCGGCGGATGTGCACCGGGCCGCGGGGAGGTCGCGGCAGGGCCGGGCCGGGCCGTCCTCCTTTGTTGGCGGCCGTGGGACCGTCGGGTGGGCGGCGGCCGGACAGGGGCGCTCGGCGGGACCCGGCCGCGGCACTCACCGGCGGGCTCTGCGCCGCCCCCCGCGTCTGGCGTGGGGAGAGGCGCCGGGCCCGGCCCGGGGCCATTCGCCGCCCCGGAGCACGGCCTCGGCCCTGAGCCCCCGCTGTCAGCGCCCCCCACCCGTCCTCCACACGGTGGGATCTTATACCACCCGTAGGGAAGAGCCAAACAGCCCCTTCGGGCGAGGAACGAGACCCCCCACCTTCCCCGAGGCCGAGTGAGGTCTGTGGCAGCCTCACCCCGGGTTCTGCTTCCCGCTGCCCCAGCGCCTCAGCAAAAAACTCTAATGTTCTGGTGTTCCCTGGAGGGCTACTTGGACAGTACATAGCACAGGAGGCTTTTCCGCACTCGGGTGCTTACAGGTGTTCTTTTCTTTTCCGACAGAATTACTGCCATGGCAACTCAAGTGCTGGGACAGTCTGGTGGGAACAGCCTCTTTCCTGGCAGTACTGGTATTGGCATGGCATTGTCCAGTGACATGTATGACTTACAGGACCTTTCTAAAGCTGAGCTGGCAGCTCCTCAGCTTATTATGTTGGCAAATGTGGCCTTAACAGGAGAAGTTAATGGCAACTGCTGTGATTACCTGGTTGGAGAAGAGAGACAGATGGCAGAACTGACAACGGTGGAGGACAGTAACTTCTCAGATAGTGACGCAGATGGTATGGAAGATACCCAGGCTGCGGAGAGTGACCGTGAGGCACCTGAAAGTGTGGAATTAAGCTCCCTTGAGGTTCCTAGTGTGGAAAGCCAAGGTCCAGCTGCTTCTTCCCCTGCTAAGACGCCCAGTGTGGACAAAGATGTGTCACTGGAAGCACCATGTACTCCAGAAAGCACAGAGGACAAGTGTAAGAGCTTGAAGAGCAAGCCATTCCGTTGTAAGCCTTGCCAGTATGAGGCGGAATCCGAAGAGGAGTTTGTGCATCATATCAGGGTTCACAGCGCTAAGAAATTCTTTGTGGAAGAAAATGCAGAAAAGCAAGCAGAGGTGAAAGAGTCTGATTCTTGCACTGCAGAAGAGGTGGATTTCTCTAAGGGCCCAATCCGTTGTGATCGCTGTGGCTATAACACTAACAGATATGATCACTATCTGGCTCACTTGAAGCACCACAACAAAGCAGGGGAAAATGAGAGAGTCTACAAGTGTACCATATGCACTTACACTACTGTCAGTGAATATCACTGGAAGAAACACCTTAGAAATCATTTTCCCAGGAAAGTGTATACCTGCTCAGAGTGCTCCTATTTTTCAGATAGGAAGAACAATTATATTCAGCATATTCGGACTCACACAGGTAAGTCTTTAATCTTTTTTTGATTGAAGTACAGTAAGACTACTGAGAAATCTGTGATGAATGAAGCAAGCAGAGTCTTCTGTTTGCAAAGTTTGTTCCACCCTGATGGAACAAACTCTCTCTTGGTGCCAGCAGGTTATAGACTTGTGGAATTTGGTTTGGTTTGAGCTCCAGTCTGCAATCCTAGAAGACTGAGGAAATGTCAGGTACCCAAGGGGAGATAAAGAGCATCTTGTTTAGTAATTATGAGCCTATTTGTTGAAGAGGGCGTGACAAAGTGTGCCTGTGATGATTGCCAGGGTCTACAGCACCAAAAACTGATATACTCTAAAACCAAAACAAACTGGTTGACAGAAGGTGCCTAAATCCGATAGGTAGTTTTGAAAATGATGCTTTCAGACTGAGCTGAAACTTGACTATGGTATAATTACAGAGAAGAAAGATCTGATACTCAAATGCAGAGGAGCCCTCCAGCATCTACAAAGTCAGAAGAAGAGTAGTGAATTAATTCATTTTATTGTACAGGGGCTTCATTTTTTCTGGGGCCTGCATCATTGCAGTAGCCAGAAGTAGACACATACTTCTGTTGCCCTATAGGAAGCCTACGAGGGAGTCCTTGGCCCGATTTCCTGACTTATCCTAACCTCGATTTGTAATCGGAAGGAACAGTGTGAGGCCCCCTTTTTCTCTGGTTTATACCAAATGGAATCAGAAGACCTTCACTGTTGCTGCTGTCCTGTGAGCTGGGAGCGCAAGTGACTTAGGAAATACCTTGCTTTGCATCAGAGAGCCTCACCGGCCTCTCACATGGGGAGTCCTGAGGCATAACAAAACTCCCTTCTAGGAGGGGACATCATTGTCGTCTCACCTCTTTGGGCCATGAGATGCTTTGCTTCCTGATCCCTTTTGTGGAAGTGGGAAAGCAGTTCAGACCTTCCTTGCAGCTTCTTAGAAGCTTTTATTTCCACCATGTCACGCTTTTTCTGAGGAGAAGGCAGACTTGCTAGCCATCCTCCAGCATGCTGACCTGACTTGGATCCCCTTTATTGTAGATTATGCCGGCTGAGCAAAACTCTGGGGAATTTCTCCTTTAAAATCGTGTCTTGCTACAGCAGTGACATAAATGGTTTGGAGGCTTCGGTTTAGTTGTCTGCAGCTGTCTGGAAGGGATGAGCACTCCAGAGGCTTGGGACTGGACTTGAGCTTAAGTGTGCAGAAGTTTGTGTTCCTCAGCTCGCTTTAGTATTTGCTTTGTCGGGGCTGGAAGAGTCTGCTAGCATTTTTAGTACTTTAAGACATATTATTCTCTTAACAATAATTGAGTGATGTTGTTCAGAGGATACCATCAGCTTAAAAATCAGTCTTGTATAAATATTTTTTTCCTAAACAAGTAAACTAAGATTATGGTGAGAGACATTAGCAAAATGGTGTGGTTTATCCTCCAGTTTATTTTCTTTGTGTGTATTGTAGGAGGTAACAGGAAAGAGATCGGGTAAAAATGGCAAAATAATAGGGAAAAAACTCAAATGAATCATGTGGGGAACTCATGGCCACGTGTGAACCAGTGCTGGGTTTCTGTCTGGTTTACATTTGTCTTGACTTTAAATTCATCCCTGCTTGTGTTTGTACATGACATTAGGTCCCCCTTTCTGATCTCTGAAATCATTTGTTGAGTTTTACAGGAACTAACATGTTGAGTTTTACAGGAACATGAAAGCATGTGTACCGAGGAAGCGCTCTGTTATTACTGCATTTGACCAATTTACCAGTGAACTGTATTAAAATTTTAAAAAAATCCAGTTCCTTGTTTCTCCTTTAAAAACAGGGATGCAGTCAAGGTTTCTGATTCTTTGGTTTGCCGTGTCTTTTTATTATTTTAATTAAGCTGAAGTGAGCTACCCTGGTAGGTGTTTCTTTGCTACTTCATAACTACATAGTTAATGTCTTTCAGATAAAAAGCTTTCAAATATGTTAGTAGAATGATTTAGCAATGTGCCCCGTTCCCAGTAACATTGATTTTGTGGGGGAGAGTTAAAACTAAAGGAAGAGTATTAAAAGAATGGATAAGCTCATGGCAGGTATATTTATACACCAAGCTAAAAGTTTTTGCTGATATTAATGTGTAATAAGTTGCCTTAAAAAACACAAACAAAACCCCAGTGCACAAAAAAACCCTAAACAATCCCTGCCCCCAAAAACCTGAAAAAACACATACAGATATTTTATAGGCAACAGTATTACAGACTGTTCACATAACAATACTGAATTTAATAAAAACTGAATGATACTAAAATAGCTTTGGATTATAGTTTTCATTTAAAACTTCAGAAAAATATTTATTGGGAAAAATGAATGGGATACATACATAGTTTTCTTCCTATTTTATGGGTTCAGAATGTTAAGAGAGTTGGAATTGCTTGTTTCTTTGGTTTCCTGATTGCTAAGAAGTTAAATAATTTTGGATAAACACTTAATCTTTCTCTCCTATTTTTTGTGCTTTGCCAGACTTTTTTTTGTGTGGGAGAATGCCTTCTTGCAGATAATTGGATTCTGCTGTGTTAGAGCCATACAGTTTTCTGAAACACTGACTGTACAGAGTGGAGTTTCACAGGATCAAATGCTCTGCCTTTGCTGCTGGAGAAAGGCAGTCTTGATTTTCTCCCCATGTCCTGGGACTGGTTGATTCAGCTCACTAACATGGCAGCAATACTCCCTTTCTCTTCCCCAGGTTGGTTTTCTCCTGGTTAGTGAACTGAATCGACTTAATAGGGACACATGGAAATGCCAGAGCACATGGCCAGGAGCAGGGAAGGGGGCTGTATGCTAGTACCTTCAGTGGTTGGGAAAAATACCTATCCTCTGCATGTTTGGGGACTGCGGGAAGGCAGGCAGAGGTTATCTGCTTGCCTATTGCTTGCATCCGTGTTGAAAAGCAGGTGTCCATGAATCCGCCCTGTCCTGGAAGATACCTTGCAGCTTGTGACAGTGCTTGTGTGGCAGGCTGCTGACAAATGTGGGGGACCTTGGGCAAAGGAGTGTTTCAAGGACTCTACAGATGGTCATAAACTTGTCACCTGGGAAAGCTACATCTGGAAGAGCCTGTCTGCTGCCCAGGAGTGGGTGGTGGAGGTGTTCGGGGCAATCCCTCTGCTGTTCAGGCAGAAAGGACTCTTTGTGTCAGGGACAGACCTACCTGGGCTCATTTGTGCTTGTTAGACCTTTTAGACCAAGTTTTGACTTGATTTACCTGCTGCTGATCCTGGAGCTGTACTATGTGCAAGACAGTGCAGCATTGTTCTCTTCCTTTTTCTCCTGTTTTACTTGTTGGAAGCAATTTCTAGAAAACTTCATTGAAAGTAATCTGCAAGGCTCTGTGAATAAGACATCTGCTTAGGCAGTCACAGTGTTCTGCATCTAGCTTTGGACTTTTTTGTTGTTGTTGTTGTTGTGGGGTTTTTTACATTTTGGTTGTCATAGGGGGTCTTTCTTGCTTGCCACTGTGTTGGAAGTTTGATGGAAGCAGTTTCGTTTCAAGCAGACAGAAACTCTAATGGCATTGTGAAAAAGGCTTTATAAAGAGATCGTTGAGGACTACATTTGGAGGAGGTAGCTTGGTTTGCAAGCTGCAGTTTGAGATGCAGATTGAGCTCAGGGTGAGAGCCCACAGAGCCAACCCTTTACTGGTGAGGCCAGTCAGGTGAATAGACACTGAGAGACACAGCAAGAGCCATGAACTGCCAACCTTTTGGATAACTAAGGAGATGAAAACGGATGATTCCACCGAGGTGGATGGGCACGGAAGGACTCAACAGGAGCAGAAGACCCGGGAGGAAAAGCGAGACTTGCATGCGGGTATAAAAGCCCAGAGATTCAATTGTTGGGGGTCCTTCTTGGAGGCACCAGCTTGGACTGTTGCTGTGTTACTGCTGAGACATCTGAGACTCTCCTATGGGAAACTTGGGGTCTGACTGGTAAAGAAACCTGGTCTGACTGTGAGAGTGGGGTGTGTTGGGAGCCAAGCGGGGCACCCGTTGGCTCTGCCGTGAAGGGCCTTCAGTCCCAGCAGTCTGGCCTTGGGAGTGTGACTGCCAGAGAGTCTCCTGAATGGAGATTGGATAGTTTCCTCAACAAGATGGTCTTAAACTTGTTCACTGATGTCAGTCTGCCTGTTCATTTGCATAAAGTTAAGTGCATGCTTAAGCTTTTGCTAGTTTGGGTCTTATTCTGTAAGTGTCTTCTGGAGAGGTTTTTTTGGTGGCTTGTTTGCATGTAATGAATGAGCTTGTTAAATTACAATACAAATCCTTTGGGGAATAGTATTTTATAAAACAGCCTTTACAATGTAGTCATGCATTTAATTCTCAAGTGGGAATAACACATTTTAAACTGGTTGCATTCATCGTACATAAATAGTATGTTTTGTTGCTGTGCCCTATGTAAAAAAGGGTATGGAAGTAAAAACCTTTTCCACATTCCTAATGTTGTAGGTAACTTTACAGAAGTGAAATTTCAGGTAATGGAAAGAAGATATGACTGAATATTCCAGGACCTTTGGCCTCATATTTTCTAATTGTAAGGAGTCACGTAAAAACAAAACCATTTCTTTATAACAAAAGGACTAACCCTCCCTTATACATGACTTAATCTTAATTGTGTGTATTGCACCAATCTCCTACCTTGTTTTAATTGGAAAGGAAGGGGAGTTGTTGTTGTTAGGGTGAATTTAACTTTAAACTGCTGATTTAATCAAGAACGATAAATGTTTGATGGGAGAAGAAATGTGGGATTAATCTGCATTACAAAGACCTCTTCTGCTGCTGTTTGGCACAGGCCAGCAGTGGAGCCTCACATGCTGCAGATAGAGCTATAGCTCTGTAAGTGGAACACACGGTTTGTGTGCAGGGCTTTTGCTTTTGCTGATGTCCAGGTCTCCATGATTTGTAGAGCACCTTGGTTGTATGCTTCATACGTAGCAAATTTAGCAAAATGGTGTAGTGTAATTCTGACTATGACTTGAATAAATATTACAACCAAGTAACTTCCTTTTCCCTTTTCAGCTTCCTTCCTCTCTTCTTGTTGAGAGTGTCCACCTGAGACTGAAAAGTGTTTTTACAACTTCTGGTGGAGATGAGGCCGCCTAGATCTCTGGGCTGTACTAGTAGTTTGAGGCAAACGGCCCTGTTACTTATCTGGACCTGCTTACAGATGTTAATTCTAAAACTATCTGCCTTTGTTTGGAGCTTGTCTTCACTTGAAAAGGATTTTCAAGTATCATTGTACTTGATATAATTTTTAGCTACAATTACAAGCTAATTCTCTCTTGTGGAGATATAATTTATGACAGGTTAGTTTCCATTAGTTCTCCAAAACCAGTAAGTCTTCAGGCAGATGGTTTTGAGTCTTCAAAATAAATGTTGCTGCTACACTTTTGGTAGCTTTTGCCAGCAGCATAGTTTCACTGAGCAGGGCATCATGGTTTTCCATGCTGCAAGCTAGTTTCACTCTGCCAGTAAAACTTTGAAAGTAGAGACCTGGTCTCTATCTGCGCACGTGTTCTGGGAAATGCACATCCATGCTGAATGGATGGTTATGCCCCAACTTAATCCAATTTAAACACTGAGATTTCAGGTAAGGTGTTATGTGAAGCAAGAACATACCTGGTTTCTTAGAGGATCTGTATCTTTTGTGCATCTTCTGAGTGCTGGGAGAAAATGCTGTAGGAAAGTCAGATCTGGTGGCTTAAGGCTTCTTAAAGGTGTCTGTCCTCATCACCTTTTGCCCGAGGTCACTGTCAACCCCAGATGGACATTAGGATGTGCCTCTCTCATATTCTGCCTTTTTATTATCCTTGTTCATAGGGCAGGACACATTGTGCTGGTCCAGCTCGGGCATGTGATTCTCACTGTTTCCCTTTGCTGAGAGATAACGTGCCCTCAAATACAACTTGAGGGGCTGTGACAGCCTCACCTGTGTGGGTTGGTAACCAGATTTGGGAATCTGCTGTGTTTCAGTAACTAATTTACCATTTGTTTTTGCAGGAGAGCGACCCTATCAGTGTGCTATGTGTCCCTACTCCAGCTCTCAGAAGACCCATTTAACCAGGCACATGCGCACCCACTCAGGTTGGTAAGGCGTGGCAGCAGCGGGACTGAGGAAAAGGGGATGGTTCACAGTATCACAGTGTGGTTGAAGTTGGAAAGGACCTCTGGAGGTCACCCAGTTCACCTAGAGCAGGCTGCCCAGTTCTGTGTGAGATGCCATCTCATTCCGTACAGCCTGAGTTTTAGCTCCTCTTTTAATGTCTCTACTTACTAAGGAAATGCTAAGTCATTAATAAAAGTGATGACAGGAATATATCTTTTTCTTTCCCTTTTACTTTCCAAGATGTATTCTGAGGTTCATAGGGCTGCTCTAGTAGTCCTAGTAATCTAGTAATAAATACAGCATTGTGATGATGTAGGAACAAATTCTTGTCTTCTGTCTGCTGCCATAGCTGAGTTCAAATCAGTGAAGCTGGGAAAATTTTGAGTAGCTGAGAGTCTTCTCTATGATGTCTGGGATTTCATCTCATCCAGGGGTTCTGAGGTGATGTAAATTAGTGTCTGCTTATGTCAAGGAGACACAGAGGAGAAAAAGCAAACTCAGAGGTTGTTCACAAGTGACTTTGGCACTAAAAGCCAAATTAGCAGTTTTCACTAGCCTTTATTTCCCATTACTGGTGGTGTTAGAAACATCTGTTCTAGTTCTCTTGCAGATTTTTGTGAGTTGTAACACCACAGACACAGGCACAGTTGTTCTTTATGACTCTTGCAGGGCAGTTTAGGTAGATCTCAGCCTGTGCTTTTGGTTTGCTGAAATGTAAATTGACCAGACCTGGGTGAATTCCTAATGCTAGCAAACAGGAGTGAAGATCTCCTGAACAGTAATTGTTTTGATTTCAATAGATGTGGCTTTTAATTGAAAGCAGGATGCAGGCACTTTTAACTGTAGTGGAGGGGGGGGCTTGGAGCCATTAAAAATAGCCAACTTTAGAATGACATGTCAGTGTTTTGGTTTGAGAATTTTGTGAATGCAGTATTCTGCTTCCAGAAATGAAAACCATTTTTGGCTGAAACTCTGGTTCAGCCAAATGGAATTTGCAAACAGTTTGGTCAATACCGAACCTGAAAACCATTTCAGGAATGTATTACTCTCCCTTTGTTCTGTGCAAGGAAGTCTCAAATCTGAAGGAGATAAGGAGTAGGATCTGCCTGTGACCCTTGCCTCAAAGGTCTGGGATGGAGGGCATGACTTTTGCTATCAGGGATGTTGTATTATTAGCTCTTCTAAATTCTGTTGCATGTTTTGCTGCATTGCCCAGGCAGCTGAACCTTTTCTGTGGCAATTTCTGGACTCCTCCAGTTCACAGGCTGACCTTTTAAGGCCAGCTGGTGCCACAGCTTTCTTCCTACGTCAGACAGCAAATGACAGTGGTTTAAAGCCTAATTCGCAGCTGGTTTTTCAGCCATGTTGTTACATGTCCTTTTCAGTTGTGCAATAAACCCCCTGGATTTAGAGGTGATGGACAAAGTCTTCAGACACTGTCTTTGAGTTACCTTGTTGCAGCTACCTCTGAGCACTCTGTGTACTTAGAACAGCTTGTTTGTGTGTATATAAGACACAGGCTGCTCTTGTCCTCACTGCATGTAACACAGAATTGTGCCTTGAAGTGTAGGTGGTAAGGCTCCATACTTGGATGCAGGATGAGCAATAAGCACATCAAACTTAAACTTGTGGAAAATATCACCAGAAAGTGAGGGGGAAAAGGAAGGACGTAAAGAAGGGAGGGAGGGAAACAAACTGACTCTTATTTAAATAATGAAGGGATGCTGCAGGCAGACATGAAGTGATCTGGACTCTTAAACAAATGACCCCCTCCTGCCAGGGAAGCAGCACAGCCTTTTCTAGAGTTTTTGAGGGTGTTGCAGATCAACTATGTGGTTAACGCATGAACAGGCACCATATCTTCACTGCAGGCTGTCTGGTTTCCTCAGTCATGCTCTGGAGGACCAGCTTGAGTATGGGCAGTGCCAGGGCAACAGGTTGCAGGGGTGGGAGAAGTACTATTGTACCATGAGCAGAAGGGACTGGAGTGGATTTTCAGCTTATTGAAGAAGTGGCAGGCATGAGTTCTGTGGGTCACTTTTGAGATGCTGGTTCAGACGTCAGAAGCATCCCAAATTCCTCAGCTGAATTCACACATGCTCTCAGACTATTTCTGGGATTGAGTTGTTGCACTAGAAGTGTTTTTCCTATTTGCTTTGATGTGTAAGTGAAAAGCCACTTCTGCTGCAGCAGCACGCACTAAGCAGAACACTTCTACAAGAGTCGTTGCACAACTGTAAATGTGGATTTCAGTAGTAAGATGATGGCTTCAGTCTGCATTTGGTTGGCTTGCCAAGAGTAGCCTGCAGCCAATACGTCATGTGTTTGAGACACCAAAACAGTGAACTGAACTTTTTCAGAGGTAAAGATCATCTGGGCACCCCTTTCATGTGCTTAGGTTTTTGCTAGCTTCTTTTCCCTCATTTCCTTTTCAATGCAAACATGAAATATGCTAAATCTGTGTAAAGTTGGACTTTTTTGAAACGTTTGTGTGAAACTGCTATTCATCAAATGTTACATTTCCATTTTTCTACAATGCATTCAATGGACCAGTTGGGTATGGATTCCATTTGCTAATATTACTGTAGAGAGATCTCTGCCGGTATGTATGCCTAGCCAGAACCTGTGACGTTGTTACTGCTTGTTTGGTTTTGGATCCCCTTCCTCCCAACCCTCACCCCTTCTTTCTTTTCTTGTATTTTGTTCTTAGTGTCCTGTGAATGTGTTTGTGACTTGTGGATTTCTTATGTTGACTTCGCTTAATTTTAAAGGCGCATGGATAATTTTTTTTTATCCTTTTTGAGTTTCATATTTCTTTATCTGTATTAGTGGGAAGTGAATGCTCCCCAACCCCCATACTTAATAATCACCATCATTCCCTTCCGTCCTTCCTTCCCTAGGTGAGAAGCCATTCAAATGTGATCAGTGCAGCTATGTGGCCTCAAACCAGCATGAAGTAACTCGTCATGCAAGGCAAGTTCACAATGGGCCAAAGCCTCTGATTTGCCCGCACTGTAACTACAAAACGGCTGACCGCAGCAATTTCAAAAAGCACGTTGAACTCCACGTCAATCCGCGCCAGTTCCTCTGTCCTGTTTGTGATTATGCAGCGTCTAAAAAATGTAACCTGCAGTACCACATCAAATCCAGGCATCCCGATTGTGCTGACATCACCATGGATGTTTCAAAGGTGAAGCTACGGACTAAAAAGAGTGAAGCTGACTTTTCTGAGAGCGTTAATGACAAAGTGGAGAAGGAACCAACAAAAGGGGATGCAGCTGCAAAGAAAACTGAGAAAATTGTGAAGGTGGAGAAAAAAGATAATTTGGCAAAGGAAAAGAAATCAACAAGCAATGTTTCTGCAGGCCAGGTGACAACCAGAAGTCGGAAATCAGCTTCAGAAAACAGGGAGATGGATATTAAAACTGAGAAGAGTACTGAGAAAACATGCAAAACAAAGAAGGTCAAAAGAAAGGCAGAGACTGAAGCAACTTCCTCAAAGCAAGAGCCAGCAAATGATACCTCACTAGTAACAAAAAAGAAAAAGAAAGTGGAAGCTAAACCCAGAGACTACCAGGAAGCTCAAAAAAGTGATGTTGTACCAGAGGAGGAGCCTAAAAAGCAAACTTTTTGCCTCAAGAAAAATAGAAAAAAGAAAGCTCTGAAAATTAAGCACAGTAAAAAAAGCAGTAAACTCAACCAGGAAAAGATCGAGGAAAAGGAGATGCTGGATGAGCATCATATCACAGAAGATGATGGATGCGTGAAGCCGGACACTGAGGGCAGTAACCAGAAGGAGCAAGATCCCTCTGAGACAGTGGCATTAAACAACAATGGTGATCATGCTCTCAGGGGGGAGAGCACTGATCCCAAAGGAGACTGCATCCAAGATCCAGAGCAGCTTTGTCTGCCAGTTCAGGATGCAAACACAGAAGCTGAGGTAGAGGACCAAGAAATGCCTGCTGCAGCAGGAGAGAGCGAAGACACTATTGATGCAAAAGAGGAGGAGAGACAGGCCAACAAAGGGGAAGACACTTGCTCTGAGGAATCTTCCCATGCAGCGTCTTCTGAAAAAAGCTTGGACGTACTCATGGATGTGGTACCAGATCTGGCACCTGAGAAGGAGCCAGAGGAAACCTTTGTGGCAGAACCTGTGAGCAACTCAGACCTGACGGACCTGACCAAGACGTGCCTGCCAGCAACAGAGCCAACAGGAGATGCTGTGCCAGCACCCATGCCTCCAGAAAGGTGTACACAGAGCCCTAAAGTAGCTCTGGCCTTATCTCGGGATAACACAGCAGTGAATGAATCTCAGGAAATGGATGAGGATGAGGGCATCCACAGCCATGAAGGCAGCGACATAAGTGACAACATATCAGAAGGAAGCGATGACTCGGGGTTAAATGGTGCTCGCTCTGTACAAGAGGAAACAAGTCCAAAGACATCACAAGGAGTTCCAGACACCACAGAGGCCAGGGAGAACTATGTGTGCATTTTCTGTGACCGCTCATTTAAAAAAGAAGGTGAATACAGCAAGCACCTCAACCGGCACCTAGTTAATGTGTATTATCTTGAGAAGGCAGCAAAAGGGCAGGAATAGAAATAGCGGTTGTTTGGAGAATCTTCTTTTGTAAGACCTTACACAGCTTATGTACAGATATTGTAGATTTTTTTTAAGCATGGTTTCCTTTAGTGTCTGCATTGGTTTCTTTTTTTTTTTTGTTTTTTTTTTTTGTTTTGTTTTGTTTTTTTTGTTTTTTTTTTTTGTAAGTTGAAAATATTTTGACAACTTTGTGTGTAATGGTGAACTCATTAACTATTGGATCTCTTAATTAGAGAAGGCAGGTAGGTGGTATGAGGTTCTGTCCTGTAAAGTGAGCGTAAGGTTCTAGTCTATTAGCATATGCAGTTCTTTTATAAACTGAGTTTTAGGAACAAGACTGGAGCTAGCAATACACAAGTTGCATGTTCATAGAGCCACTGGCATTAGTTGGTTTTGTTCTAGCAGCCAACTCTGTCCCCTCCTCCCTTCCCCATTTTTTTTAGCTCTTTTCGATGTGTCTTGAAGTTCAAAGTGTTAAACTATTTGATGGTTTTTCTACCAGGAATATAGCTTCTATTACATAAAGAGCACTTTGTAAAAGAAATCAAAGTTGGCTAGTGATGAACATAACTGTTTAAGCTAATTACAATTATGAACGTACATTTCAGGTCCCCTAAGCATGAACGATAAGCCAAAATTTGAGAGCAGTCCTTCCAACTTTTGATTGGAGAACCTCTGTCTTGATTAATATCTTAATCACTGATATGTAATTGGCTTTGTTGTGGGGGAACAAGTTTTTTATTTTTACTTTCTGCTTTTTTTTTGGATTGTGCTTTAAGGGCTTAATAATGTTGCACATTGTTTTTGATTTTTACCTATGCAGTTTAATCCTTTAGGAATAGTGCTTGTGCAGAACATGTACACTTTATATATGCATGTTTGGTTTTGTATGTAAGTTTTTTTTATTTGGAAACATTCAGACTTGTTGCTTACCACGGGACAGTTTTCTGTGGCAGTTTTCTGTGATGCTTCTTACTGCAGATTTTTCTTATTTTCCTGGATTGTGATTAGTCATGCATGAAGTTGCTGAAATTATGATCTGCTTGGCTATATATTTTTAACTGGCTTTAAAATTGTATAGTCCTTGAGCAAAAGGATACCAATGCAATTTCAAAACACTTTTTAATGAGATTTATTCTATCATGGAAATGCCACTTCTGATATTTTGAATACACATACAGAGTAATAAATTCTGATTAATAATTTGGACAGGAAAATAATCACTCTCCATGGAAACAGTTCACACATTCTGCAAGTCCAGATGATTATTTTTTTTCCCCTTCCCTATTCATTTCTGTGGTGGACAGCGGTCAAACATCACAAGCTTAAAAAAACCAAAATAGTAGCAGTGATATAATCTAACATCTCATACACAGAAAAACTCCATCAAACAAATGCAGATAAATCAACTGGTAAGCAACAAACCTGACATTAAAAAAACTAAGGATTTCTGCTCCTTATTCATTCAAGTTGCATTTAATAAAATCATCCTCCTGCTTCTGTGCAGGGAGAAACATGTAAGATTGTCATCTCAGGTCTGCATGTCATACTGGGAGTTTTTAATTCTAAACGGATGTCATTTCTAGCACACACACACAAGAGAGATTGCATACTTACTGCTTGTAGCCAACCTGTGGCAAAGTGTAAACAAAATCCAAACCAGCAGGGAAGAAGCAAAGCCCTCCAGGTCTCATCTGTGCACTCTTGCGATGGTCATTAGCTGCCTTTCCAGTGGGAGCAGTTGGGCAGCTTCTCTGATTGTCAGCTCCAGAAATGCAAATTTGGAGGTGGGTGTTATTTGGAGAGTGGAGTTGAAGAGCTCAGGCAGCATTTGTCAGAGCACTTTGTAGCAAATAACTCTCGATGTTTAAGTTCTGGAATAAACCCCATTTTTCACTAGGTGTTCCCACAGCATCTTCCCCTCCAAAGAAACCCACTGCCTTGAATGAATAGAGAGCAACAATGCTACATTGCTTCTGCTTTTGGGAGAGATTGGTAATAGGAGGCCAAAGATTTGAGAGGGAAGGCATCCCTCATGGCAGAAATAACTTGTATAATGTATAGTGAGTTTTTGTTTGCATAGATAGTGTTCAATCCTTACCTTGGCTGCGACAATCACTGTCAACTCAAGATCAAGTTGCAACTATATTTATGTTAAACATTAAGAAAATAAACCTAGTTGAATTTTTTTCCTAAACTACCAGTTGTAATAGTCTTAGATGTATTTTTTTTTTATAATAGTGTTTCTTTATATATAAATGTTGCCACCATTTGTGAGCGATATGAGTAGCTGCTGGGAATTCCAGTACTGTGTAGAGGTTTTATAGCTCCCTTCATATCCTTGCGAAGAGCCTCTGCCATCTTGTGAGAGACTTCAAGGACTTTAGCTATGTTCAAATAAACTCGTGGACTGGCCTGATAATTTTTTTCTTGTTTGTTTTTAAATGAAAATGTTGCTGTTGACTGACTCTAAATCTCTCTCTGTGAGATAAGAACAAAGATGGTTCTTTGAAATACTGTGCTGCACATTTCTATGAAGTGGTCAAGGTTTCAGTGCTTGATCTGACAAGAACTCTTTGAAGACAACAGTCGGCTCCTCTTTGGCAGTGTTTCTTACCACAAGATGACAAACTGAAAATAAATTATTATTAACATATTAAGAAGAAAAGTTGATTCTTTATATCTGAGACCCATCAACAATGTCCTGAAATACCTAATGTTGATGCAGAACTGTGTTGGAATTCTGTGCAAGGTTTGGGATTATGTTACAGTAAAGAGGCAAGGATGTAATGCATTATGTGTATCTAAAATGTTAAGCACTGCTAATACTGAGTGTTTGAGAGGGAGTGCAGGTCAGGTAGTCCACCATATATGGTGGTCTTACATTGCTGTATCTCCCTTTAAACAATGCTTTTTTTTTTCCCTTGGTCTTTTTCAATATTCTTAAATTATTATGTGTTGTTTTTGCCAATGCTAGAGTTTTTGTGGTTTTTTGGCAATAGTATCTTCATGAGTGTTTAACCTCCAATACATGGTTGGAAGGATTAGCACACTGATACCCCTACACTGCCAGCCCTCATTCGAATAATGTGGTGTTTTGGGCTTTTGCTGTATGAATCGATACAGTCAAAGTAACTGCCCTGGGAAACAGTCAAGAAGTGGGTAGCTAGGCACTTATAATCCATGGTATTGTAATTGCTATTTCTGGATTTTGATGACCTAGGCTGGAACTTTAGTCATTTAAAGAAGAATGTTTAAGAGCTGACAGGCCAGTTAAGATATGATAATGTCATTGATTTCAACAGATTTAATGTAGCTGGAAGGTATTAAATCAAATTCAAGAGTTTTCTTGAATGTCAGTTGTATAGATAAGTGGCGTGCATACGATATTAACAGAATCCAAATAGCTAATGGAATTGTTTTATGTGTACATAAATTTTTTTCCCCCTCTAAAATTACACTAGCTAACAAACTTTTGTAAGCTGGCATGGAAACATGTTTATGATGTTTAGTTGCACCATGTTTGATGCTTTTACAGTGCAATACTTGTATTCTCTGAATTAAACCAAAGGTAATTTTTTTTCATGCTCTCTACTGTAGTGCATGACAGTCTTTTCTACATTTGTAATAGATATAAAACGAGCCAGATCATACATCCTGTTTTTACCTAAATCATGTATAAGAAGTCTTTTGTCCAAAATGTAGTATAAACTAAATTGCATTATATTAACCTTTACAAGTGTATTTTCCTAAGCATAGTTATGATTAAATAAACTTTATTAAGGAACGTGCAGCTTCTATCTTCTACTTATTAATGGCTACGGAAGCCGTTTGTAACCAGAGGCAGGAGCAGTGCAAGCAACATTGGCAGAACTGAAGACCTCCAACCAGCCAGGTGGGTGTGGGGGAGCCAGTACAGAGATGCCAGGTGCGTGCACACGGAGACTTGGCTGCAGACAGGGACAGTGGCTCCAGAAATACATTGGTTTTCCATTTCAGCGTACTGTTCGTACTGTTTTCATTTCAGTGAGGGCAGGGCACAAGGTGGGAGTTGCGTGCATACGGATGAGATTCATATGGAATGCTGAACCTGTTTGTGATTTTGGAGGATGGGCCCAACAGGCATGAAAGGCAATATTCCCTGCCACGTGAGAAGGGATGCAACTTGATGGAAGCCGAGGAATTTAAATTTGAGTTTCAGAGGTAATGAGGTGCCAATATCTTCTGCATTCCAGAAGGATTTCTGGTGCAGTCTCACTTGGTGAATTAGCAGTAGATTTATAAAAGTTAGTGTCACCCATCATCCCTATGGCTGCAGTACTGTCTATATAGACACTGAAAATGTCTTGAGAGCTGTGGAGCCTGGGATAACCTGCAAGGGTGACATTTCATCTGTCTGCCAGCCTGGCCATTTTAGAAAACCTGAGCTAGATGCTAACCTACTTGTGGGGCTTGATCATTCTTACCTCCTCCTAGCACAGAACAATTCCTAAGGGATTAAGGCAAACAACATTTGATGAACTTAAGGGGATACTTGTGTATGCAGCTGCTGCAGCTTTGAATGGTTCGGGATGCTCCTAGAACATAAGAAATGAGCTTTAGGCTTCTCTGTTATAACGTTTTCTCATAAGCCATGCCTCTCTCCCACCCTATGACATCTTAGTGGTTTCCAAGCCATACAGTTACTAGTTAAGCAGCAAAGAGCAGGGTGCACCACTACCACAGGACATACCCTTGGGCGGGGGCTGTCAGTATTCAGATAAGGGGTGGGTTTGGGGTTACTCCCCTTAGAAGTTTTGTAGGCAACGTGTGCAATTTATGGTGAGGACAGGGAACAGGAGCGATACCTGAGCCTGCCCATGGACCACAAGGGAGATGTAAGAGCATGGTAAAGAGATGGCAGGGTTTGGATAGGCACTTGTGTGCCTCTGCCTGTGCTGTGTAAGTTAATGATTTCAGACTGGATCAATAGAGGAGGTCCTGCCCTTTGCACCACC